AGCATGCTGCTGCATGCAGCAGCAGTAGCAGCAGAAGCAGCAGCAACAGGGTGCGTACAGGCGCGAGAGCGTGTAGATACTCTTCATCGCCGCAGCCATCGGGGAGCGAAATATCAACAGACGACCTAAAGAGAAACATAGAAGGGTTTAGGGTTTAGGGTTTAGTAGCAAGCGAAATATCAACAGCCGGCATAAAGAGAAACATAGAAGGGTTTAGGGTTTAGGGTTTAGTAGCAAAAGGAATATCAACAGGCGGCCTAAAGAGATGCATAGAAGGGCTTAGGGTTTAGGGTTTAGTAGCAAAGCAAACACCACACCAAGGGTCGAGCTAAAGACAACCAGAGCAAAAGAAAGTGTTCAGGGTTTAGGGTTTAACAACCAGAGCAAAAGAAAGTGTTTAGGGTTTATGGTTTAGGGTTTAGGGTTTAGGGTTTATTACTTTTGTTTAATAGGGGGGTAGTTGTTGCTGCAGTGTATGGAGACCGTCTTCACTTCGCTTCGTCCCTTAAATATTTCTGCTGTGCCGTCGCCCTGGTGGACATCCACGTCAACCACCAATACCCGCCTGGAGCAGCAGCAGCAGCAGCAGCAGCAGCAAAAGTAACGGAAGCAGCAGCGGCGGCAGCAGCAACAGGAGTAGCGGCCACAGCAGCAGCAGCAGCAAAAGTAACGGCAGCAGCAGCAGCGACAGCAGCATCAGGAGTAGCGGCAGAAGGAGGAGCAGCAACAGCAGCAGAAGAAGCAGCAAAAGCAGCAGCGGCAGCAGCAGCAACAGCAGGAGCCGCAGGAGTAGCGGCAGCAGCAGCAGGACTAGCGGCAGCAGTAGAAGCAGTAGCAGCAGCAGCGGCAGCAGGTGTGGCAGCAGCAGCAGCAACAAAGGCAGCCGGAAAGTCAGCAGCAGCATCAACAGAACGAGAAGGAGCAAGAGCAGAAACAGCAGCAGCAATAGCAGCAACAGAAGCAGCAACAGCAGTTGTAATAGTGGCAGCAGCAGCAGCAGCAGCAGCAACAGCAGCAGCGAGAGCAGCAGCAATAGCAACATCAGCAGCACCACCAACAGGAGCATCAACAGCAACAACTGCAGCAACAGCAGGAGCAGGAAAAGCAGGATCAGCACCTGGCTCTGCGTTGCTGCAGCGCGAGTTCAGCAGCAACAGCAACATCATTAAGGAGACAAAAGCCACCAGGAGATAGTCTCTTCGCATGGTGGT